ATGTGTGTGTGTGTGTGTGTGTGTGTGTGTGTGTGTGTGTGTGTGTGTGTGTGTGGGGGTAATTAGGGATTGCCTGATGGGCCTTTTGAAATTATACTACATCACATGTACAGATATTTCAACTTGTACACATCGATGTATACTGTATGGTGATTCATGTTATTTAAATCCATGCTGGTACTTCTTTGCAGGTTCTAAAAAATAACACAATGAGCCTGAAACTAGACCTTTTGTGGTCCCCAAACAGGGAGGAAGAGTTTGTAACATTTGGCCAGGAGCTGACTCTATTTCAAGTGGTCAAAACAGATAGCAGTCTTGGTTCTGCACAAGGTAAAGAAATAATAATATATCAGTCACAACTAAAGCTTAGTCTGCTAAAAAATTAGCCTGTTGATTCTTTAAGAAACATGGCAAAAACATTCTGGCCCTCGCACTGACAAGTGAAGTGTAAATAAAACCAAATATCTTGTAAATTATGATTATATTCACTTCATGAATTTGCAGATTTCAAAGGTTTGAAAATCCACTGATGGACAATTAATGAACAAATAAAATTTTACTGGTCTGGTTTCACTTTTGCTGGCACTGCTTATCAACTGCTATATGACTTTTATTTTAATTATAAGACTTGGATTAAAATTTATTCTAAAGCAGAGACATTGTTATGAACAATGGAGTATAAGTTGTCTCGTTTGAAACGTTTGTTGTTATTGTTATTTAAATGTTACATGTAAATATAACCCAGTTTCAATAGATTTTCAATGAATGAAAAAAGAAAAAAAGAAGATGGATGTCACATAACTTTTCTTATTTTGTGCATTCTTTTATAATGCTTGATATATTTCATAAATACAGTGTTTCTTTGCAGGAATGTCACACACAGTCAAATGTAACATGCAATTTAGCTGTAAAATTTGATGAAGCATATTAAAAATGGATTTGATATGTAGTCAACATACAATGAATTCACATGCTAGAACTAATTATTAAGTTTCAGGTGCTACTAGAATCTCTGACAGCACTCTTGCCATCCCACTGTCTGTGAACTCTGAAATACAGTATGTAAAGGTGGGTAATCTGATTGCATTCAGCGAGAGTGCCCACGGGGATGGATCGATCTACGTAGAATGATAGTTTCCTTGGAAATGAGTTCTTTAGACTTATGATAAATGTGTTTTAATGGTACCCATATGTGGAATATGATTATGTTACAGTTGTTGTTACAGTTGTCAATGTCTACTTGTATTTGTTTTAATTTTGTGTCTTACTCTTTCATTATCACAAGGCTTAAATTCGTGAGTCCATGTTGTAGTAGTCATGCTAATGAAATTTGCAAAAAAAAAAAAAAAAAAAAAAAGAAAAAAAACTTAAACCAAAAGGGAAAAAAGTAAGGCCTGTAATTTGGTGTCTGTGTTTCATGAAGAAGTTCAAATAATTAGTCTAAACAGACAATAGGGAAAATCAATTTGCAAATGAATTTTAAAGAACAGCAACAACAGTAATGAAATCACAAATTGATAAATAAAAAAGTTGAGGATTTCTGACTTTTTTGATGGTATTGATGCTTACAATAGTAATTAATTTTTTTTTGACTATCAGCTGATTTCCCAATTTTTGGGAGTCAAAAAAGTCTCATCCCTGTAAAATGAAAGAATAAAATAAACAGTAATAAATGAAGAAAGAAAACCCCTGTCATCCTCTGTCTGTGTTTCAGTGTGTGGCCTGGTACCCAGGACATGACCCTCACCAGCTGATAGCCGTTGGTCAAGCTAATGGACGGATTATACTGGTCAGGTAGGTAATGGACACGTATATTATGGTTATGACTCAATCTCTTCAATGGGGAATAATTATCTGTCTTTCACATACATGGTTTTGGAGTTATTTAAAATAATATTCTGTATAGCATTTTGATGCATTCACAGTACATTATTGAACCAAAGGGTAGCCAGCTTTTCAGTATTGTTGCTATCACTCAGTAGGAATGTTCTTATCACGAGGAATTATGGCTTAAAATTTTACAGTGTTTGTGAAATTCACAGTTTCCCCCATTAAACTGGAAAGATCGAGTCATTACCACATTCTAGTCAGGTATGTTCTTGGTAAAAAGTTTTTATTGTTTTTCTTAATATATCTAATTAGCTTGGGGTAATGAATAAGTAGATTCACTCCTAGTACACCATTGTTTCATTAAAGGTTTATTATAACTTACTTAGTAATCCTGATGATGAAAGTATTAAGCCATCAGCAATCCTTTAATCTCCTTTTCAGTTTTGGTCAAGGAGGAAACAAGGATCCTAATGACTTAGTTGGCAAAGAATTTGGTAAGTATATAAAGATACATGCCACTGTGTAATATATATATCAAATTAAGTGTGACTAAAAGGTTTATAGGATCTTACTAATTGTTTTTGATAATCAATATAAGCAAAATTTCCCACTTAAGTCCTCATCTTCCATTATTGTGGTATAAATCGGTAACACCAGGCAAATTAAATTTTTTTCAAAGGCCCAAGGCATGCACGGCAGTGTAATTCTCTGGTGTGGAATACCCATGATAACAATCTGGTAAGTCTTTGTGAGGCATGGCCATATTTAAAAATATCAAAATATGATAATTAATATATCAAAATATGATAATTAATGTGATTACTTAAAAAAAACAATCCATTTTCCACTAAGAATTTTTCATATTTTTTCGGTGGACAAATGAATCAAATTTTGATAGACACAATTATCAGTTTGGTTTAAATCTGTGAGCTGTTAAGCTTAGAAAGATGTGCAGAATATATATTGAGTATGAGGATGTATAAAACAACTTTGAGTTAGAAGTTGCAAAGAAATAGCGTTAATTAGAGAAGGGTGATTATAAGGAAATAATTCCAAAATTGTATTGAGAGAATGAGAGAGAGAGAGAGAGAGAGAGAGAGCGCTACTACAAAAATTAGAAAATTAGGAATACATAACAGATAAAAGTAGTTTTGGGCCCATTTGTAATTTATTCATCATAACTATCCATTCTCCTCATTTTTTACCCCACAGCTGGCCCAAGGACTGGATAAATATCGTCAGGATGCTTCTCTGTTAGTGTGGGACGTGAATGCCAAGCCAGCATATGGTTCTTCCTATGACTCTACTGCCACTCCAGATAGTAAGAGAGGGTCCACCTTTTATGTGGATACCACCCCATCTATAAGACCTGTGGCAGAAATAGGTATGTTGTACCAGTACTGCATTGGTTTACTGTATTTCAAGTATGGGTCTATTTCATTCTTGGTATGGTACATTGTGAATATGAAAAATTTCATTAACATCTTTTAATTTTTGCAATTAACCAAACTTGATGTGAATGTGGAATCATAAAATTCTTTTATTTCTGTTTTAAATGTGAATGTAGATAGAAAAATAAAAATCTTTAAATTTCTGTTACCAATGTCACTAAATGTAAATATAGAAAAATGAAAATTTTTTTAAAAGAAAATTAAAATTTCAGTAATTATCTTTACTAGATATAATTTGTAAAAATAATTTTTGATTTCAGGTGCTGCTGAGAGTGTATACTCTCTGTGTTGGTCAATAAATCAGCCCAAAATTCTGCTGACAGGGATGAACAAATACCTCAGAGTGTATGACATAAGGGGTGAGTGCTTATCTTCCAAATATTTTTTTTTACAATAATAGCTTGTATTTAGTGGCTTGTTAATCTGTTAAACTCAATCCATTCAGGAGGAGTCCCCAGAGAGTTGGATAAGTATCAGTATATGGAGACCGTACCTTTTAATGGTAATTAGCCTTAAGACTAAATTTAATATTGTGATTGATTTTTAAACCAGCAATTTTGAGATTAATTGGAAAACTCTTATTTTTTAATTTCTTCAGAGAGCACCCACCCACAGAATGCGGCTCTGACTAAGAATGTGTTTGGACTTTGTGTGGATCCGCACAGTGCTGACAGAGTGGCATCTTTCTCAGAGGTATGGTACTCTGGATAAAAGGTTTTTAAGTAAATTTTTTGGACAAAAGAGAGAGGCTAAAAATGGCAGTGAGGCACATAATTTACAGGTTCATTTTTATTTTGGGGGAAAAAAGATTTTAGAATATTTCAATGAGAAGAGATTTACCAGTTTGGTATGTGTATTAAACATGGGAAGTTTTACAAGCACAAGGACTTAAAAATTTATATTTCTTAAGATGGCTGCTATCAAGGGTAAGGGACAAGTTAAATTTCACTTTGACCTTCATTTTACATATTATGTTGTGTGAAGTTCGATTAAACAAGTCTTTTATTGCCAGCTTTCAAAAAACAATGTACAGTTGGTGATTTAATTGATCGTTGATGAATTTTCACATATCATTTTAGGGTCAAATTTCTGTTTGGGATTTGAGAAACTTTGACAAACCAGTGTTGACGTTTACAGAGAATAGACAGATTATGAAGCTGTCTTGGTGCTCCACAAGGTGAGTAGTTCCCTATAGATATTGTAGTAGAAGTAATAGTAGAATTTTATTATTACCGTATGTGTATACATTTGATATTGCAAGGCAATGTAAGCAGAACATGCATACAGGAATTTATAATTTGAAATTGAAGCCAAACTTAATATAGAATAATTGCACTTATCTTCAAATCATTATGTATAGAAAAAAAAGTGATACTGTCAGTATTGTTCACAAAGTATGATCTTTCTCATTGGTATCTTTCTCATTGGTATGCTTCATTCACTGTGATTAATTTGTCCATTTTCACAATTTAAGGTCAGGCTTACTGACCAGTCTGATGCGTGATTGGTCAATGGTCAAACTTTACGACATCCAGCACACCACAGGGGGCAGTGACGAGATGGAGCCTGTGATCATTGAGAGGCTCATACAGCGTAAGGCACACTTCTAGTCAGGCTATTATGTATTGACTTTTAATAAAATTTGTAGAATTTTTTTTTAAAATTCATAATTATTTAGTGAAGCTGCCTTTTCATTTATTACATTGATTAAGTAAAAGGCGATGGTTTGGTTAAATTACAAAAAAAAAAAAAAAAAAATCTCATATTGTGTTGGAGTGATCCAGGAAATAAATTTCATAATTAAAATTTGTTTTATTTTCGTATCACATTCAGTATTTAATAGCAACATTTCAGTATTTTTCCTCGGGATAAAGTTTCAGACTTCTTTTGTTTAAAAGTAACAGAAATTGGGTTTTATCTCGTTTATACTTACAAGTATATTATATTATACTTATAATTTCAGCAGCTGGTCAGCACAGCGTGGGGTCATTTACCTGGCACCCCACCCAGGAGAACAGAATGCTGACCATCTCCTCAGATGGCCAGATCAGGGATGTGACAGTCTTTGAGAGGATTGCTTTGGTGAGTATGGGGTGCAGGTGCAGTCGAACAGCAAGACGAGGAAATTTGCAGTGTAACGAGATGGATTTTTGGGGTTAAATCGGTTAATCTTTAAGTTTTCTTTTATTATTAGAAATTCATGAGATCCACTACTTGACCTGTGGAGATTTTTGTGCCTTGTTGGAAATCTGTATAATTATAGTAATATACACACACTGGACAAAAGAAGTGTCACCCCTACTGAGCCAATACTATGGGGGAGATAAATGACTGTGGAATGATATGCTCCTGGTATCATTTTATTAACATCAAATTTCACAAAAAATCACAAAATGAGAACAAAATATACATTATACCAAAATATGCAGTTTCAAGTCCAAAATTAGTACTTAGTGGCATAGCCACGTGACCTAATAATAGGTGCCAGTCTACGAAGCAAGGATTCATATAATTGTCTGTTGTGTTCAGGGCTTATGCTGGCCCAAGCATGAAACACTGAATATAACAGAGTTTCTCTGCTGGTTAGACGGGCATTTGTCCAAAGTTTTGACATATCATTCCACACATTTTCTATTATGTTTGCATCCGGAGTCTGGGCAGGCCACATCACCCTGCGAATGTCCTGTTGGTCAAACCAATCATCAACTTCTCTGGTCCTGTGACAAGGAACATTGTCATCCTGGTGAACAAATGGATAATTCCTGTCACCAAACATGTTAGTAATAGATGGTAGCAAGCCTGACTCCAAAACATCGATATATTTCTAGTGATTCATGTTTTCATCAACCACAATCAATTTGCCCACGCCATGGATGCTGATGCAGCCCCACACCATGATAAATATGCTGCTCCGGATTCGAAAATTCAGTGCATGTGGTTCAAATGCTTTACCAGCAGTTCGCCAGCATCGTACCCGTCTGTCATCAGAGGTCAGACCAAAGCGACACTCATCAGAAAAAAAAATATATAGGACCAATTGTCATGGACTGTCCAGTTCCAGATCCTGTTGACCCTAGTTCACTCTACGTTGCCTGTTTTGTAACGATATAAGAGGTTTCAGTCTTTCTACCCTGCTGTACACTCTATGATTATGTAACCGACGCCTAGCAATTTTCACAGACACATTCTTCTGTCTGAAATTTTTCCACTGTGTTGTCAACTGACAAGCAGTGTCGAACTTTGACAACCTGGACATCAAAATCAGTCGTCGGTCTTCACGGCCAGTAGTTTTTCTTGGACGACCCATCAGAGGCAATTTGTCTCTTGATCCAGTGTTTCTATACCAAGACCAGACCCTTTGCAGGGTTCTGACTAAAAAATTCAATTGTATCGATATACTGACATTGCTTATATTCCGCCTCTTCAGGTTAATAACTTGCATCTATAACCGTTAGATAATTGCCTGTATCTTGCCATATTGGAGGAAGACAGGAATAACATTTGCTGTACATGTACAAGACCAACAATACAATCCCATGGTACAGCGGTTTTATACTCATTAGTCACATTATAAGTAGACCAGGCATTATAATTACCCAACATCTGCCTACTTTTATTACTCTGAGTTAGGGGGTGACACTTCTTTTGTCCAGTGTGTGTATGTATATTGCATGTCTTTGTATTATCCAAAATTTTGAATATTTTTGATAGTTTTTGTCTTCATGTATATATGCATTGTTGCCCAGAAAAATAAGATAATGCTTCCAGTAGTGAAATAACATGATTATGATTTGTGGTTATTAAATATTAAATATGGTCCCACGGTAAACAACATCTGTAGGCATGTGGAAAAAATGTTGGTGTGCAGCAGAGCCTGTGCCTCCCTCGCTCCCTCTCACTTAAGAGTTCAAATATTGAATTTTTTAATACGAAATGTTTTGTGCATTATTTTAGGCCTGGTCGCCCAGTCAGATGTTAGCGTGGTCCTGTGGGAAGAAGCTGATACAGTGCAGTAGAGTACAGGTACCTCCAGGAGAGGAGGATGTGGCTGAGAAAATGAAATACAGGGCAATGCGAGGGTATGGTCTCCAGGTAGGCATAATGACCTGTTATAAAAAGTGTGATCTCTTTTTAAACATCTTGACTAGATGAAATGAATGTGGTTGAGAAAACGAAATGCGGGGTATGAACTTCAGGTGAAGGATTACCTATTAGAAAAAAAAATAAATTGAAAAAAACCAAAGTAAATACCATGGTTGTATAAAGCTATCAGGTATACTTTCTTCTTACATCTTGGTAACAACTGATATTGGATAAAAATGAAAAACTTGCTTGTTAAGTTTCAAGTATCACATGAGATTTATTCATTAATTTAAGAACTTCTTATAATGGTATATTTTCAGACAGAACAGGTATGGCAGAATACTGAACTTGTGGGAAATGATAGACAGCTGAAAAGTATGTGGAGCTGGATAGATAATATCCTTTGTTATGGATGTGGAGGTCCCCGTCTTAGTGTTTTACATTAAATTCTGCTGTCCTGAAGTGGTTTGTTTTAATAATCATAAGATCATGAAAAGTTGTATTTTTGCAGATAAAATGCAATGAAAAAAATATCAACGACAATGAAAGGTCTTTGAATTAAAATCATTTTCAAGAATTTGTAAAAATATTTTTTTGAGGTTGACATATTTGGCATGATTAACAGGAGTGACAATGTATTTTTTATTTAGAATGGTCAAAGAATTGAGAAAAATGTATTTTTCCATATTTTTCAAGCTGTCTCTGATTTTGAAAGTCTCTAGAAATTAATAAATAAATAGGTTGATAAGCATACAATTTCCTTAACAATGATTACCAGTCAGGAGTCTGTGGCAAGAAGGGAAACTGAAGACAATGATTAAGAACGCTCCAAAATATTACGGCATCAAGTCTATCCTCCGTGGCGAGGTGAGTCAAAATGGAGTCACCAATTTCAGCGAATACAGCTATGCACCATGGGAAGGTGTAGATGGAAAAAATCGTCTGCAGCCCAAGCTATACAAAAGTGATGAAAGGTACGTTTGTTGATGTCATTGTTTTGTCTGAAGTTTGGATGAAATAAATTATGTGTCAAGATTTTGTGCTATTTAATATCATGGGATTGTGATTCATTTGTTGTATAATGAATCTTGTCAAAATTTGTGTTTTTGTCAGTCAGACATAGATATAAAGTTATTGACTGTAAAACTTAATGATACAGTACATTGAGTATTGTAAGGTTTTTAAAAATTTTTTCTCCTTTTTTCAGTAAATGTTGTGTTACCAATGTTATTTGCTTTAACAACATTATCAGCAAAAGCAATGGAAAAAAAAGAAGTTTCTAGTTTTCAAATATTTTGTTTTCATTCTAGGAAAAAATGCCTACAACTGTGTTGTTGGGACTTTGACAGTGAAGCAGAGTTGAACACAGTGATAGACAGGCAAGTCTATGTTTTTTTTTTTGTTTACGAAGGATATAATGCTGACTACCTTAATCTTTCTAGGGACTCTCATTCGCAAACAAAACTTTCACTTCTCATTTTTTCTTGCTGCAAAATAAACATACTAAAACATAGTTCATATTCAATCATAGTGAATATTTTGATTCATCCAGCTATATTATATCGAGATAATGAGAAAATTAAATCTTATGCTGGAGCTCTATTTCAATGTAAACTCCAGTATTAGATTTAATTTTCTCACTATCTCTTCAATTCATACTGTTTTATTTTGATAGTTCACATTCTGTATGTTTACTACATGTAGATTGGAGTCTGATGGAGAATATGAGAGAGCAGCACTGGTGGCTTTGTTCAACTTAAAGATCAAGAGAGCACTAGATGTGTTGAACAAGGGGGCTTCCGGAACAGGTAGGTTCTGTCACAGTTTTTTTGATTAGTCTTAAAAAATTGATGCATTATGTCATACAATTTGGGAAACATTATGAAGATAAGAGGATGAAAGCTGTACCTAAATCTTATTGTGCAGAAAATCAAAAATGAAATATTGCATAAAGGCTTAATACAGGGGACTAACAGATCAGTGGATCAAATTTAACTGACCCACTTCAAAGCTTGCCGCATAGTTCCCCAATAGACATTGAATAGATTCTTTGCAATGATTATGCGATTAGCTTTCAAGCAGATCAGCCATATTTGTCCATGGATCTGTTAGTCTGCAGATTAACTTTGGTTGTTAATGCAGCAATATTTATTTAATAATTTTTACCGAATTTCAGGTGGTGATGTCAACTTAAGCATTGTTGCCATGGCGCTGAGCGGGTTCTCAGACGACAAAAACACACTTTGGCGTGACATGTGGAGTAATGCCCTGTCCACGTCGCTGAAAAATGCAAATCTTCGTTCCATGTTTGCTTTCTTAACCAGCGGCATGGAGAACTTTGACGCTGTACTTAATGAAGAGGACATGTGTGTCCAGGATAGAGTAGCCTTTGCCTGCATGTACCTTTGTGATAGCAAGGTAGAGTATTCTAACACTGTGTTCAAGTATTAATTAATGTTTTTAAAAAGTTGACGATCCAAGAAAATGAGATCTCTATAGAAGATTTGATGGAAGAAAATTTGAGGCAGCTAGTAAAATTTGTAGTTAAGATTTTTGATAAAAGACAAGAACAATTGTACTCAACAGGTGTCTTATAAGCCGGAAGGGCTGGGCGTTCAAAACACAAGATGCGTAAATAAATAAATGATGATATTCTAATACTCGATCAAGTGGAATATTCCAGTACTGCTGTTTTTATCTGAATGCATGGGATTATGCCTGATTTTAGAATGTTCAGACTTCATTTGGATAAATTTTTTCGTATGTTCAAAATGCGATGAGATATTGCAAGCTAGGTTTTCAGGATTTTCAGTTTTTAAAACTTTCACCAATGTGAATATGATCTAGTATTAGAAAATGGAATTTTTTCAGGCACTTAAAATGCAAGGTACTACAAGATGCAGTATTACAATTCTGTTTTCAAATTTGTATATTATAAGACTAGTGCTTTAAAATGTGATTTTTCAGTTCTGTTGTCAAAATGGAATGTTTGAGGTACTTCAAAATGGAATATTTGAGCACTGTTGTCAAATTACACTTTTATAGTTAGTTTGAATTGAAATGTTTCCAGTTTTTCAGAATGTCATACCTGAATGATTTTCACTGCCTCTGAGATTAAAATCACCACAATCCTCTCTATGTTTTACTTGTTTTAATGAGGAAAATTACTTTTATTTGCGAATCATTTTATATTATTACAGCACATTGCCTTAAATAATAAGACATTTATTTTTAATTTCTATCACAGCTAATGGAATACATCGACACACTGACAGCTGAAATGATCAATGGTGGAGTTTTAGAGGGAATTCTACTTACAGGTGAGTATAATGGGACAAGACTATCAAAGACGCAGGTGTGTAATAGAAGCATTTGCATTACAGATCCACTGTTTTGCTGACCTTGGTTTGAGTGGCATTCTATTAATGTATGACAGTGAAATATTATGTAAAAAATCTCTTTGAGTGGTTTTGAGAATATGTCTCAAGAAAAATGTGATATCCTTTAAGATTGACTCTTGCAGTGATTTTCATTAGTCTTATCCTTATTTTTGACCAGGTTTTGATAATTTTTACTCAGTTTTTATGTACAATACCTCTTTTTATCCTATTCTTGGGAAGGTGAAATAATTTCTGATTTTGTATATTATTAAGTAATTAATTGGCTCAATAAACATTTATTATTATTATTATTATTATTATTATTATTAAAAGACAAGATGCAGATAACTTATAAATAGTGATTCCTGATTTGATTTTCATATTTTGTATCCAGGTTTCGGCAGAGATGGAGTGGACCTCCTTCAGAAGTACGTAGACAACACTGGGGATGTCCAGACAGCCTCGCTGGCCGTGGTCCAAGCTCTGCCGGGAGAGATTAGCAAAGATATCAGGGTGCAGACATGGATTGAGAGGTGAGGATTGAGAAGTCAATGGTGTAGTAATTCTTCACCAATTTTGGCTGTTTGATATTGATGTGATGCAAAGGAAAATAAATGCATAAAATCATTAATATAGTAATTGTGGTAAAAATGGTAGCAATTTTGATTAAAAGCAATTTTATATTTTTTTCAACTGAAAATTAAGAGATACAGGTTTTCTCAGTGCAGTTGTAATATCAAATGATGAATCTTGGTCTTACTTGTCATAAATGTAGCCAAAAAGTAAAAAAAGACCCAAGTCAAGATATATTTGTTTTTCAACTAAAAAATAATAGGACATTTTTAACCAAATGCCAATATTCAAACAATCTATTTTTTTCTAAAATTATTGATATTTTATTTGATATTTCTCCTTCAGTTATCGCAGTCTGTTGGACAGATGGGGAATGTGGTATCAAAGGTAAGCAGACGACAACTGTCAGGAAAAGTGTCAAACAATGTGGGATATTCCAACACTGTAACATAAACCTAGCTCATCATTTAAAGACCAATTTTCTCATTTAAATGGATGAAGGTCACTGCAGACATTTAAAGACTTATATTTTCAGTCTTCTAGTTAAAACCAACTCTATTTTTGAGTTGAGTATAGATGATTCTTCCAAGGTAAAGACATTTTTTTAGATAAACATTTTGGTTCCAGAAGATTAAAACAATAAGAGAAGGTTGACTGTTTTGCCTTCTAAGTGCTTAAAATGTTAATTATCATTTATACCTTGTATAAACATAACTGAGAACTGAACAGACTATTTATCATAAAAACCCTGCAAATTCCAGGGCGGAGTTTGATGTGCGCAGAGCGTCATGTGATGCCAGCATACGACCTCCAACCCAGGTCTTCGCCAGCTGTAACTTTTGTGGGAAGTCCATCTCATCCTCGGCCAACAGAAGAAATCAGTTTCTGTCTTATGGAGGAGGGCCTGCAGCTAACAAACCTAAGGTACATGTGGACAATTTATGAGTTTGATCAGAACTTTTTTTCATAACAAGTCTTCTAATCTGTATGCTAAAAAATACCTATTCAATGTAACTAAGTTGTCAACTACAGGTCCTAAATTTGTCTTTGTAACAGTTGCCAAATGTTAGAAAATATAATGGTAGTTTCAGAGAGTTTGTGAAAATCACATCTCTCTCCCTCACACCCATCCTTGCTCTGTCTGTCTCTCTCACACAAACACTCTTTTTCACACACACACACACACACACACACACACACACACACACACGTGCACTCTCTCTCTCACACACACACACACACACACACACACACACACACACGTGCACTCTCTCTCTCTCTCTCTCTCTCTCTCGCATATATTACAATAAACAAGCCATAGAACTATTTACTCTAGGTAACTGCCTGTCCAGGCTGTAGAAAACCTTTACCAAGGTGTGCACTGTGCTTAATACACATGGGGACAAGCTCGGGGACAGCCAGCTTTAGACACAAATCAGAAAGGACAGGTGAATATAAGACCGCATTCTCAACGAATTGAGCCAGGCTTTACAAATCCTGAGAACTAAAAATGGCGGACGTACATGAAAGAAAAACCACCTAATCTTTTAGTAGTCTCTCCGCCTCTCACACGCCTCCCCACACGTCGTCCCTGCGGGGTACAGTAATTAAATCTCCTCTCCGAACATGAATATCTCCGTGAATATCTCTGGTGATATTATCTCTGTAGATAGTCGTTTCATTGCTGCTCTACAGGCCAATTCATTCCTTTTTCGTCTCTGTTTTGAAAGATAATAGAACAGAAGAGCTTTTTTCCTTCGATCGCCTTCAACCGCCATGCTTTCTTCACCACGAGTTTAACTGATGAGCATGCGCACTTAATATTTCTCAGGTAGCTTCCGCATGGCGAACGGAGGTGAGATTTAATTACTGTACCCCACAGGGACAACGTGTGGGGAGGCGTGTGAGAGGCGGAGAGACTATTAAAAGATTAGGCGGTTTTTCTTTCATGTACGTCCACCATTTTTAGTCTCAGGATTTGTAAAGCCTGGCTCAATTCGTTGAGAATGGTCTAAGTGCATCAATCTTTCTTACTATAAATGATTCAGACTTAAGAATTTGTATGATTTTGTTGAAATGATGAGTATTTCGAATGGATTGCTAAAAGAATTGAATAAATAGAACGGTTTTATATTCATGATAAGATAAATTATATGGAATTTTGCACAAACTTTGAATTTATAAATGGCTCCAATGGGACATGAAGTAATTTTTTACCCACATATCATGATTTATATTTTAAGGGTGAAATTGCTGTTGTTCAGAAATTATACAGAAAGTGTTTTGTGTTGCAGGTTCACACAACAGTAACGTGATTTTAGCTCCTTTTTCTGATTGGTTCACCTGGTGCCAGAGCTGTCGTCATGGCGGCCATTCCCAGCACATAGCTGATTGGTTTAGGTAAGAATGGATTTCCTCTATTTTCTAGATCTTTTTTTGGTTTAGGTAAGAAGGGGCTTTTTTGGTGTGAGATAAGTTACATGTAGTTTCCTCTGTGAAGCTGATGTAAATGGGATGATTATGTTTTTTGGCCTCACATTGCTCGTATTTGTACTGTTAGAGGAACAGTTATACTATATCCTTGTCAAAGTACAATTGCAGTATTTCACATTTGAAAGTTTACAGGGTGGGTGGGAGAGAAAATGGCAATCAATTTTTACCCTTCCTTTTCAGTATCCTTTATTTGTACATTCATGGTGATTTCATTCATTTGTGTGTATTAATGGGGTAGTGTAGTGTATTGCATTGCATTGTTTCAGTATTGTATTGTATTATTCCAGAGACCACAGTGAATGTCCTGTGACAGGCTGTACATGTAAATGTATGACACTAGACTCCATGTACCAGGCAGTTCACTCTGAGGAACATGGAGCTACATAGAAATAACCCAGTGTGCAAAGACAGACCAAGTATGGGAAAGAGTGAGGGGGGTGGTCCTACACCCATGCCCCTAATGTAGAGGAGCCTCAGAGCCATCAGTGACTGTGACAGTTCACTGTGCCCGAGCCCACTGGACCTAGGGACTGCCCATGCTGTGCCCCCTGCAACTGATTCAGAGGCAAAAGTTGCTTTTGCAATCCAGCCTTGACAACTAGCTTTTAACTATAAACTTGCTGTCTCTGATGACTTGTAATGATAGCCTGTAAATCCATAGTGTGTTTCTACTTTAAGACAGATGTCTAGTCTACTTCATATTGTAATTATTAAGTAGACTGCTACTGATTTAATAACTAGGATTGAAGTATACTTCAATTTTTGTCTTAAAGTTTAGACCAACTTTTGATTCAACTGAAGCTCATTTGTGAAAATGGTCTTCGCCTTTTTTATTTGCCCACCAGCTTTGTTATTGAATTACACTCTGTACCAAACAAAGATGTTATGATAGTAAAGCCTGTCACAACTGGAATGTTAATGTGCCCTAAAGGCCGTAATCTACATACACTTCCATACAAGGAACTTTCAGGGAAGGGCTTACAGCTAACTGGACCAACCTGTCCAGCTGACATGATTTTGGCTAGTGGCTCCATCTAGGAGTGTGATGCTCCTCAGGGAATGGTGGCTCCATCTAGAGTTATGATGCTCTCCAGGGAATGGTAGCTCCCAAAATGTCAAAGACGTGGACTAGAATAATGAAGTCATTGTTGCTATCACTGTGCCATTTGCTTAATTATTCTGAAACTTTTAAGTTGAGCTTGAGCAAATAACATCGACCAGTTGTTTAGTAATTGGTTAAGAAAAATATAATCTTATGTAATTTATAAAGCAGTGAGATAAAAAAATTAATGCATTCCTTTCATAAGCTCCAATATTAAGGATATTGAGTAATTGTTGTTATCTTGTTTATTGTTATCTCCGAAGGGATAACTTAATTTACCGAAAAGAATTTTATTTGAAGATATACAACATACATTGTTATAATTAGAACCAAAGGAAGGTCGATTCATTTGCATCAAAATGTAGTTTTTTAATTGATTTGTATTTACGACATTAATCATATCTTCAAAACTGTTGAACATTTTTATTATAAGATAAATCATTTGAGTTGTTGAAAGTTGATTCTGCATAAGAGGAAAATTAATGCAAAGTATTTCTTCATGTTTTGGTCTAAAAATTTCCCTTGTATGCCTTTAGATTTGAAATTAAACAAGATTTACCTGTAAGATTGATACTTGGTTAAAAAAAATCTTTTATTTAATGATTAACCGTAAAAACAATGAACTTATCAGTGTATATTGATATTATTCAGTGCAGTTTGTAAAGGATGCTCTAAAAGGGATTATCTATTTATCACAGGTCAACTTTAGGCAAATTTCTCCATAACTTGGAGAGTTAAATTTGCCATTTTCAGAAGAAAAAAAGAATTTATACAAGTATTTCTTCTCATATCAAAACACAGTTCAGACATAAAGAGTAAAGTGATCCAGTTTAACTAATTATTTATTTCTGAAATACAAAACTGTTAAAGGTTTTAATGGGAAAGAAAGATTATTGGTGCAATCTCTGGGTCACTGTAAGAAAAGATCACTTAGCAGTGACAATTCATTTCGTTTTAGTACTTAGTACAGCATCTTTCAAAACATCTGTAAGATGTAACACCTGACTATTTTAGAAGTAATAAATATCATCATTATATATGTACATAAGAAACAAGTTGAGAATCACTTGTACCGAATTAAATACAAATACCATAAATGATGGTAAATGAGTACCTTGTAAGGGAATGACAGATTCTATACTTTAACGACTAAGAATTTCCTTAAACAACAAACAAAAAAGTACATGGGTCAATCCATAGGAAAAAAAGGAAATATTCCAGTCACCTCGATATTCAGTAATACTTGTTACTGAAACCCAAGTTAAATGAATGAGAATTTCAAATGGGGCTGACATACAGTTAAGAAATTCCAGACAACCATGGTTTTAGCCTTGCCATTCTTGTTCACTTTACAGTATAGACAAGGGCATCTTAACAGGAGCTCACAACACTTCTAGGTGTGTTACTTTAGACACAGATGTCACTGCTGAGGTCAGAGGGTCTGGTATTGTATGAATGGGCAAATTAGGTGTGTGGATAAAGATTTCTCTGGTTTGGGGTAAGGTACATGAACTGCATGAATATACCAATTAGACTGAACACTAATATTCATAATCTCCAGATTATTCCACGCTACAATTAGTGTGTATCCATCCAACTGGCAATGTCATATTTTTGTCACATTAGTTTCAGATGTATGTATACCAGTTCCCCTGTATGCCATTCTTGTAACCTGAAATTCAGGGTCCCGTAACTCGAAAGCATCGCCCACTGCAAATAGCTATATCACATAGAGGCTACAGTGTATTATATGGGGCGGGTATGGGCAAGTTATGGAATCAAGACACTTGCGCTCGGTCGCAAGGCGTGATGCTTTTGAGTTACAGGGCCCAGTTGCCTCACCAACCAGTGGTGTCCATTACACATAATTCTTACAATGATGTCCTGAAAAACTGTAGTCTTCCTGCCATGTCCTTAATTTTTTCCACTGAAAGATCCATTATTTTTTCAATCATCCTCAGTCTGTTACATTTGACGGGTAAAATGCTTTGTAAGCATTGCCATTAAAATATATGCAATATTGTCATATTTTGGCAGGAATTAACTTCCAACAGTTTTTTTTTGGTCTTTTTATTCCATTGGCTCTAGTGGTCCCCCTTGGATGTAATGATCCTTCAAACTGTGGGATAATTTTATGGCTTTGTTATATGTCTCCATATCTGAAATAATTTTCAAAATGATTCTTTATGGAAAAATTGTAAAAAGAAAAAACTGCAAAAGATGCTTTTTATCAAAGTTTTTAGTGAAATGGGGGGCCAGACCATCCAGGTCAATTAACAAGTGAAAGGTTGCAGCTTCAGTAGGCATGACAAACATTTAAGCTGCTTAAGTTGTTTGCAATTTAGCAAGAATCCCCTTGGAGATAGATCGATCCACAGTTAGTACAAAAGGGTCTGGGAATGGTCCCTTATTCTCTTACCAAATGACTGTGTGACCTCAGGAGTAAAGGGGACATAGTTTTGACAGTTGATGTTGTTCCTGTTATCCACCACGCCATGCACTTCCACAAGAAGGCTGGTTAGATCTTCACTGAGCTGGAAAAGGAAAATGAATATTGTATGAACCAAAACTGTCCATTCACTTACTGTGGTTGTGTGAAAAGACCTTACTTGGTCTACCTACATTATATTTAGATGTCATCTTGAACAGTATGTCTATCAGATATTGTATACACTTACCTGTTGATACATGCTTTATCTTTAGTGTTAAAAAACAATACTTAATGCGAGGAAAAAGACCCCCACTCAACAAAAAATAATTAATCTAAATATAAATAAAAACATACAAATGAAAAAGGCTTATAAACATAAAAGTGCCACCCTACTCACTGGTTCATTCAGAATGATGTGAACAGACTGTCCATCACTACTCTCCATTTGGAATGATGTGCCATTATTGTCAATCTGAAATAAAATGTAATTCTTCACAGTGTCTGCTGCTTTTACATTGGAGAGGGATCTTTTCAATCACTGATATTGGGCAGTTTTGTTTTGTTTGACAATGTATATAAACAGGAAACATAAAATTAGTGTGCTAGAAACACTGAGTCTGGTAAAAACTTCAGCTTAGAGCCTTCTTAAAACAAAATGACATTCTGATCATCTCAGTCTATTTTCTTACATTATGTTTTCTTACGTTCTACCATTATTGAAGAAAAAAACACGTTATTAAGAAAGGCCTTGAATAAGTTTGTATCTGAAACGTGCTGCCTCTGCAAAAGTGTCATTGATAATACATGAGCAATTTCTTCGTTTTAGTCCGACATCTTTCTGTATTTTTCATCATGATAAATTTATAATCATAATGTGAACCGTCTCACCTCTTTCACGACACCCATAAGAGCGACATTATCTCCTTGGAAGGTGTGCAACATGGAAGCATTCACGCGGTGGCGAATATCTTGGCTACTCATTTTATCAGTGCAGTGTTGATGGCTATTTTTTCCGCGAAATTCGCAGGTGGCGGGTGATAGAATGCGCATGCGTGCGATCCCACAATGCACATCTCTGGCTATGTCCGGTAAAGGTAAACAATCAAAAGAAAAGGGAAACTGTTGAAAGATAACGATGTTTTCTGTTGGCTAAGTAAATGACATTTCATCTTAAACATGACTTAGACAAGAGAATGGTTTCATTTTTATAACATATGTATTTTAACACTATCAGGAAATGTTTATCTTCGTATTTCGTCATCAAGTTTGACGTTAGTGTTACTGTCTGAATGATGTCAACGACAGCTTTACACCTGCCTTATGAGTCACACATTTGCAACATACGCTTTGTCATCATTAAACAAAACTTTATTTATTTCTCTGTTATATGTACACGTCAGACTATGACTCCATACGGGTAAAAGTCCTTGTTTGAGGTATTAGGAAATCAATTCCTTGATAAAATCGGAGCTCATAAAATTTATCATCCAGACGTCCCCGTAGCCGTAGGTCTTGTAATGTGCTGTTGATAGTTCTAGAGAAAATTAACCAAAGTTGATCCAGCAGCTTAAGTGAATATTGATTGTTGAAGGTCATTTTTCTACTTTTTCCACTCGATACCTTTTGCTTTCAAGGAATCTGAGTTTTCGAATCCATGTGTTGGCAGACCAGTGAGCACCATGTACATGCACCCGTGTCTTCATTGGAATAGGGGGTGAACTTAAGGCCTGAGGTATTTTGCTGTTGACCAAAGGTCTTGAATATCTTATTTGGTGAACGGAAATCAAAAGGTAAGTACAAGTTTACGAAGAACTGTACATGCGCTTGAAATAGAAAGTGACATATTTGTACAGATACTGTACACTGTTTGCTCTATATGTGGGTTAAAGTAAACTGTTTTCATAGTATGTTACTGAATACCAGTGCCATGATATCAAATACCTAGTTGCCCATTTGTTAAAGTAACTTTTATAAAAATATTTCAAGGTGAACTCAAAGCTGATAATGAGAAATTCAGTATACATATATGAGAAGCATATCAGTATATGTGCTCCCCACGTTTCTTTTACTATTCAATTTATACAGTAATCCACTTGGGTTTTTGTTTGCAATCAAGTTTCTAGGTAAAGCGTCTGATATCGGTATTACTTTAAGTATAGACACCATGTTTGCCAACCTGTTTGGTAAGGGGAAGAAGAACAAGTCCCCGTCCAGTAACTCGCAGTTCCACGTGGCCCGGGTTGAGGACAAAGAGGAGGACGGGTTCTTACTTGTTGGAGAAACGACCGCCGAGAGGAGCACGGTTCACGCGGGTCAGCTCAGTCAGCAGAATTTACCACCTTCATATAGTCACTATGCTTATGTAAGGATATTATGTATATTATACACTTGGGCAAAAAAAGTTCAGAAACATTGTTTTGCTTAATGATTATTAAATAAACAAATTTCATTGAGCTAAGATAATATTTTAACCAAATATTGATGGATAATGCACCTACTGTAGGATGTAATTTTTAATCCAAATAAAGCATTCTTATCTCAGTCTATAGCCAAACTTTTTGCCAAACCAGCTCTTGAGTAAATGACAGTAGTAAAATAATTTGCATTTTCTGTTGGAAAATAAAAATATCAATCTACTAAGTTATCAGTTGAATGTGCTTTATGATTATTTTGTTTGCCAAGCTTGAGATTGAAATTTAATTGTGTTTACAATTACATGGTGAAACAGTAACACTGGACAGTTTATACAAAAAGCTGTTTCAGATAGGAACAAGATTACAGAAACAAAGCTCTTTTTATTATCATTTTCTCGTTCTTCAACATCAGGGTGTTTCCCAGCAGTCCCAGGTCAACCCTCCAAATTACAGCTGCGTCCAAGCTCAGATGCAGCAGGCAGCAGATTCCGTCCCCTCGCCACACTACTCACAGTACAACAATCAGCCAATGAGAACGTCTGTTACAGATTTCTCAAACTCGGCAGAATTTTCTGAGGTTGTGACCCCCAGCACGGCCTCCGTATTGTCTGGGGTGCCTTTTCAATTGGCGTATGGACTGGAAGTGGCTCTAAACACAGACAATCAAACACAGAGTCAGTTTTCAAGGATACAGTCACAGCCAGACTGGAGTAAATATGACTATGATTTTTCTTTGGAGAGAGGGGTGGTGAGGGAGGCATGGCAGAGTTGTGAATGATCTGAGACTAGTTATTAAAGGGCACTTTTCTGCTGTAATTATCGTTACTTGTTCATCGATCCAACTGCGAGGGACTCTCGCTGTTGTTTCCAGCATACATGATCACAAGCTTTTCTGTACTCGTCTTAGTGTCAATGTCAAGAGGAGGTTTGTTAATCACTTTATCTGATTACATTCAGCCAGAGTCCCCACGGAGATTACATAGAATCATAGTTTGGTTGGAAAGTAGCCCTAAGACAGAACACTGGTGCAGTTTTAGAACTTAAAATGGGTAGGGGTTAGTAAGACTGACTTAGCTCTATGAAAAGGTGATACAGGCATCTTGTAGCTCTTTGTCAGGGCTCCCATTGTGATCCCTCTCCAGCCAGGCCCTGACTGGATCCTCATTCAGATCACCCTTTGGGACCTCCCCTTCCCTGCCATCCCAGCTTGGGCCATTCATTACCATAAGCAGTGCTTCATTATCCATGACCAGAATGACCAAAAAAGTGTAATGCTGTAGTAAAACTGGGCAGAAATTTACCGGGTAACTCATAGTAGACATATATTATGAGACTGGTCATTAGGGAGTATCTTCCCCATTGTCACACCCTTTAATGTTACTTGCCCCTTATAATACATATCCTCTCTCAGGGCTGTAGCCAGCAATTTCATGGGGGGGGGGGTTGTTCTGAAAAAGTGGACCTTTTACCATGAAATCTTCATGTGCTTAAACTTAGATTTTTTGCCAACAGTGTACCTTTACCCTGGTAAAAAACAGCAGTTAGGATGACCCGACCCCCGTTGCTGTTGGCCTGTCTCTTTATGTCCCAATATTAGTTAATTCATAACAATTTTTACTTTCTTTATTTTAAATCGTAACAAGAAAATCAGTGGCAAAAAGTAAAAAAAAAAGGAAAATATGTCACACTGGCGAATATAATACTGTGGAATGAGCCATTACTTTGAACAGGGATGTTTAGAAGAGTAAAAGAAAGGAGCATGACTTCATAACAAATTAATGATGGCCAACTTTAACAGAAGTTGGCACACTGACCAGTCATATGCATACTGTGTGTGAACTGTGGGCAAACTTGACCTAGGTAAAACAAACATATCAGGGGCAGATTGAGGCAGTCTTCTGGGTCTTCAGGAAGACGGTCAGATTTTTCAAGTTTACATTGATGGGTATCTAATTTTTTTTCTGTTGGAAGATGGTCAAAAATATATGGAGGATCAACAAAGATAAGTTGGAAGACTGTCAGAAAATATTTCTGGATCCATCCCTGCATATCTCTTGATCCCTACAGAACATTTCATGTGACAATGAACAAAAGATTTTGTGCTAGTTAAAAGGTGCCAACTTATTTTCCTGTGATATATCTTTTGCCTTTATATGATGTCAGAGAGAAAGTTGATTGATTTAGATCTGATTCAGATCATGCAATGTATGTACCGGTAAGATGCTAAGTGTAAAAAGATGAAAATTATCAAGCTATTAAATGGTAGTATTTATCTTGTGACGAATGAGAGTTAATGAATAACTGATAACTCTGTCATGATGCCTGAAATCTTATTTTAGTGACATATGGAAGAATGTTTCTTGATTCAACTGATGAAGTATTACTTCTACAGTGACAAATTTAATTTCGCCACATAAAATGAGTGTTGATATGTAACTTTATACTTTGTATAGATTGTATCTTGAAGTGGTGTTTAATGAGTTATTTACACCACTTCATATCTAAACATTTACTTGTTTATCCCACCTGGTGTATTTATTAACTTGTTTTGATGAATATCAGGAAAACAAGTATTAGTTATGATAGGTAAAATGTACCAACATCATAGCTATAAAAATAAAATGTATGAATCAGTAAACAAAATTATAAAAAATGTATCATCAGGGAGTGACCAGGAGAGTTAATACTTATTTCAGGTGTTTTTTTTTCAAGTATTAAATGTTAAATTTTATTGTATCCAATGGCATTCTCGTGTTGCTGAAGGCTTCTCCCATTATTTTATGATTATTATACATATAAATTAGCATTCAGTTTCTTGTGTGCAATATATCAGTATTTCTTTTGTATATTTTAAAGTGCTATTTGCTTCATCAAGTGTAAGTTGAGATTCAATCCAGAATTAAGTATAAAACACCATATCATTATACCAATCAAATTTTTAGTGAATGTAAAATACATATTGATATATTCTCATATGTTATGTTATTATTCACAGTTTTTTCCCTTGATGCTTTGTTGACTGATGACAAGTATCAGCTATGAAGAGTGAATGTTATGAAAGTCAAATAAATTGTTTAAAAATCTTTGTTTTTAATCAGCACTTGATTGTAATTGAGTGTTTGAAATGTTAGTTCAAATATAGAAAAAAGATAATAACATTTGGTGTCCATATATTAAATACAAATCAATATTAAGTCTATTTTCTAAAATACTGCTTATTTCTTGAACAGGATGGAGAAAATACTCCTCAAAATTCTAATGTTCATTTCATATTAATTTCAAATTCTCAAGGTACATAAACTTTCAGAAATACTAGCAAAAAGACATTAAAATAAGATTTGTTAAATATTCCTTTGTTGTTCAGTTATATGAATTAAGTATAACTAATATCATTTGAATTTTATAATGGGCAAAAATGACCATACTTTCAGATACATAATTTTATAGTTATACTAAAAAATATTGTTAAATGGCATTTGTGGTGCTTTTAGTGCACTGAGTATAACTATGGATAACCCAGCTTTTTATGTACAGACACGTTCCTGTACATATAGCTGTCATTTGGATCTGTTGTCTCCAGGGCTGGACACCGTTTTACCATTTCTCTTCAAACTTATGGAACTGTTGAATATTTATTTATGAAACATTAAATGTGTTAATTTACATTTAGAGTCTCATTCAACTAGAATGTGAATTTCTGTGGACGTTTGATTCCTGCTTACAAACGCACACACTTAAACAATATTCTAAGCTACCGATTGCAGCAGAGAAGATCATTTCTGTTCCCCTCCAGATGGCGCTATAGTACGGTTTGCTTTGTCAAACTTGACAAAAACTGCTCAGATTGCAGCATGCAGTAGACCATATAAGGATAGCCAGTGACCTACATAATGCCGTTTTACTTCAAGGTGTGAAAGGGTCTGAGATTTCTTTTAATTAATTTAATCTAGTGAATTCTGAAACATGCTGGAAACAAAAATTTACTGTGCATAACTATTTTAGTATATTATTAATCGAATTTTGTCTGTAAAATTATGGTAATTGATAAATAGCAAGGGTGGTCACCTAGCTCTTCCTGCCTCCTACCCCCATGGATTATTTGAAACCTGAACTCTAGGAGGAGATATCACTTCTTCAGTTCTGAGTGACCAGGGTGTGGATGCGAGGCGGCCAGGATGCCAAGTATATGGATATTTCAGTTTTAATCGATTCAACTAAACGTTCTAAGGCAAACGTTTTAGGTATTTTTCTAAAACTTATCTTTGATGTATTTAATTTTTTTACGCCTGCGTGTTGAGCATTGGGTTATGCCATCCACAAATAATTTCCCCGCGTGTTATTTTGTCCTCCATGACTAATTTATTTCCTCAAGTACCTCGTGTCAGTGAAATAGCAGTTTTGCCTTATGTTAACTACGGAATTGTAAACTACAACGATAGAATTAGTAGTGGACGTAAAGTCAAACATGAAAAATAGTCAAGATGGGGAAAATTCTGTGGAATGGCTCTTCTAGAATTTTTGCTGTTGAAATGTAATTTTGTTAAACTATGTGGTTTTTAGTTAAACTATGTCATAATTATAGCGCAGCAAAATAGTCACATTTGAAAATTGAAGGTTAAGTGATACTTTCATTTCTAATTTTGGCATGATTTCCCAAATAATACTGTTGTGTTTTTATCAGTTTCAATTTAAAGTGTGCACTAAATGTGCGTCTCATTGTCACCTTTAATTAACAGAGCTTTTCGCACTGGAATGACCAGAGCAACGTGTCGCTCTTGTCAGCTTTAATTAACGAACGCCTTTTTTCCGAGCGCCCTTTTGGTCAAGGGAGCTCCGAGCGCCTTTTGCACTGCCCTAAGTGGGAGCCCTTTCTGTCAGTTCTAATTAAGGAGCGCCTTTTCCGGGATCCGGGATCCCTAGAACTTTCTTTGGAGCTCCTCCGGCCCGTGCCGCTGGAGCACTATAAAAGGGTTGTAGTTCGTAGCTAAAGGACATTATACAGTTAGTTACATTGCATTAGAGATTGGATTAGATTAGATTGGAGTACAGAGCGTAGCACAGAACAGAGTAGAGATTAGTGATTTGAACACATGTAGAGACGGTAAAGATAACCGAAAGTTGTGACTTTTGAACTTAATTTAGTTGAATAAACTTCATAGTTTTATTTTCAACTGGTGGCAGCGTTTATTTTGAATTCTACCAATCGCGTTCTGAAGAAGAAGAAGTAAGAACGTGACAATACCATAATATGTATTAATATTCCGACTCATTGAAGTATGTAAGCAGCCATATTAGAGGCATACCTGTAGGGGGCGAATTGCTAGCCAATTTATAAGTAATGCTTGAACTTAAGTTTGATATTTCTCATTTAAGACTAAAGAAATATAATGTCAATATCACGTCGTCTAATCAAAACGCTCTGTCCAAAGCAATTTACAATGATTATTACCGCCGAATTTTGAAGCCTTTTGTAAAAGAATCAAATCGCAGCATATTTTACACTGTGTATTCATTAGCAACAAGATTTGTTTTATTTTCCCAAAGAATAAAACTGCCCCTTGTGCTTTAAACGTCTTTTACTATAATTATGAGTCTTAGTTTGCTTTCGTGACATTTATAGAACTATTTATGCTATGCTTTAGCAAGGCAGCAAGTTGTGGCTTGACGTTTATTTTAATGTAAATATAATGCTAAAATACGGAATACTTGTTTTTTTTTAGTCCAGGAAATCTCGCAAATGAAGCTCCAATTGACATTTTCACCAAAAGACGAAAAAAAGGAACCTTGAAAACTTTGTTCACGTTATTTTGACGTATGGTGATTTATACAAGGTAGAACTTATCCACGTTCTTAAAATTGCTTTGAAGAGAAATAAATCAATCTGAAGCAGTCTTATGTTATTGATATTACAAATGATACATAATCAGTTCAATCCATCTCTGAAAAATTGTTTAATGCTTAGTTTTCAAATTTTTTCACTCGGAACTTGGCATATGCAATTTTTAACTCTTTTCGAACTCCTGGAATTAAATTCTTAAGGCAAAATTAAAATCTGGAGATTTCAGCAATTTTCCCTTCAATTTTACTTAAAAAAGGAAAGCAACTATCTGAACACCCCATTTGGGCTTACAAATTCCTGTCATTCTGTGACCACGCGTGAAATTCGTAAGTCTTTATCTCATCTTATCTTTATCTCAGCGAGAGTAACTCAAAATCTAGTGGCTTAAATCTCGTATCTGTATAATCTTTTAAAGCCTGAAAACTTGCTGTCTTAATTGCTGTGTGAAAAGTGTCATTTGTTCGGACCACAACTGGTGATTTTGTTTGAGTTGTGTGGTTTGTTAAGTTCACACATTAAAGGCCAAATTCTCAAAAATTACATTCAGTTGCATACTTTTTTTCTAATCCAAGTTCTAATCCTGTAAAACTGTACGTAC